TGCTTAATCATTGACAACTTCAGCAAATTTTCAAATTCTAACATTTAAATAAAGAATTTGGACGGAAAGAAAAATATAGAAGTAAACAAATTATTTCCTTCTATTGTCAAATATTTAAATGACTTGTAAAATTACAGTTTCGGTTTTTCAATGATGGGTTTCAGAGTGACTTCCTTTCTTTAAATGTTAAATTAAAGTTGTCTATAATGGAAGGTCTTGAATGCAAAAAACATAATTATCTTGAAAGTATTTAGTATCAGACGTAGCAACACACCACGCAAGAAAAATATATATAAATGTTGTTGGCAAGTGTGCAAAAAAATGATCCAGTATTACATATATCTTCATAGCAGATAATAAATTGTTCTAGAACAGAATATTATTATTCATCATATTTAAATGTTTATACTGAATCATTTATAACTTTCTCAATATTTCTTTTCAAGCAATAATTTAAAGAATATCCATGTGTTACATTTCTATGTTGTCATCAATATTTTAATTAGTTATAGAAATTGTTTGACTAACCACCGAGATACATGCATGATCAAAATATATGTTAAAATTTGCGTACAAATTTTTTTTTTTAACTTTGTTTTCTTTATTTAACTGCACTATTGCTAGCTCCTTCTATGTTCTCTTTAAGTTTCATGTATCACTTTCAGAGAGGACGACCATTGGGTCCGTGGCCAAAGGGTGCTGATCATATTCCTCCAACAGAACAGTAGATGTTAAACAAGAGAAAAGACGGGAGTTTGAGAAATGTTCAAAACATTTATGTTTCACAATATTCCATTGATAAATCATAGTCAACGTTAAAAAATACAACTCGTGGTTAAGAAAAATACAAGAGTAAATAAATGAATATTACAAGGACTGAAAAATTGTATTTTTCAAACAAAGAAAACAAAGATTTTTTTCTATGTAATCTAATAGTAGGAACAGTTGTCTTCGGAAAAGCTTCGAAGGAATTTATATTGTTACTGTCAAGAGATGCATGAAAATATTGAGAGATTTTTTTACTTTATATATGTGTCATGTACAACAAAATACTTGTTATTTATATGATGGTATAAATTTCGAATGTTAGAATAGCAGATCTGTGATAGTATGTAACAGGGAGAATACATTCATATTAACTTAAGCTCACATTGTGTTTTATTATAACTTGTTTAACACAAGTATTTTATTTCTTGTTAAATGTATACACAATAAACGTATTTTTACAACTTTATCAGATTTCCTCCTATTGATCTCCTCATATTTAGCTTTAATTGAAATACTAGTATTTGTAAATATGTTGAAAAAAACTCGAACTGGGACAGACTGCCTTTCCTGGTCAGGCATTATGCCACCTTAGTTTTTTATGCCCCCAAAGGGAGGCATAATATAATCGCACTGTTTGTCTGTCTGTCCCTTCGTCTGTCCCACTACATTCGTATCCGGACAGTAACTTTTTCATACATTGAGGGAATAACTTGGCACAAATTTCTACCACATCAGGACGATGTGTCTCGTCCAAGATCCACGTCCTTCAAACGTCAAGGTCACACTATCATTTTGAAGTTTCACATTATTGCATGCATTGAGGGATTTTGAAATAATTTGGCACAAATGTCTATCTCATAACAACATTTTGTCGCGTCCAGGAACCACGTCCCTTCTTCAAAGGTCATGGTCACACTTATATTTTGAAGGTTCATGCTATCACAATTAGAGATTACAGGTAAATTGATACAAATAACAATATTCGGCAATTAGTAACTAATGCGTATTCTAAAACCTCTGCCTCCGAAAAAGACATTGTAAACAATCATATTACTAATATTTCCAATCTTAAAGTCCAAATTAATGAAAAAGAACTCAAACTTCCTATTATGTATTGGATTCCTAAATTACATAAAAAACCTTACAAAGCCAGATTTATTGCTAATTCTACATCTTGCACTACAAGTAAACTTTCTATTTTATTGACGTCTTGTTTGACTGCCATTAAAACACATGTAATTAGATATTGTGATAAAGTCTATGAAAACACAGGCAAACATCTCTTTTGGTCAATTAAAAATTCTGGTGAAATCTTGGATAAATTCAAAATTAATAACTTTCAAGCTTCAACTGTCAGTACATACGATTTTTCTACACTTTATACAACTTTGCCACATAAATTAATCAATGATAAACTAATTTCCCTAATTCAGAAAACTTTTGCACGGGAAAAAGTTACCTTTCTAGCATGTAATTCTAACAAAGCTTTTTTACTAACGGTATTGTTAAACATTATACTATGTGGACCTGTGACCAAGTTTGTAGAGCACTCTCTTTTCTTTTAGACAACATTTATGTCAGGTTCGGTAATACCCTATTTAAACAGATCATAGGAATTGCTATGGGTACTAATTGTGCACCCCTAGTCGCCGATTTGTTTTTGTACTGCTATGAAAGAGACTTTATGTTGAGTCTCTCTGAAGAGAAACAACAAGATGTTATAGTCGCATTTAATAATACTTCCAGATACCTTGATGATATTTTTAATTTAGATAATCCTTATTTTGATCAAATGGTGTCTGACATTTATCCGCATGAACTACAACTTAATAAAACGAACTCTTGAAATTTTAGTACATCATTTTTGGATCTTCATATTACTATCAACAACAATTCTATTCACACGAAAATTTATGATAAAAGAGATGACTTTGACTTTTGTATAGTTAATTATCCACATTTGGATGGAGACGTACCCCATGCAACATCTTACGGGGTTTATGTTTCTCAGTTAATTAGATTCGCTAGAGCTTGTAGCAACGTAAAGGATTTCAACGAGCGGAATATTTTTATTACCAGCAAGCTTCTAAAACAGGGCTACCGCTATCATAAATTACGGAAATATTTTACTAAATTTTACAATCGTAACTTTGATTTAATTTCTAAATTCAATAGTGATTTAAAAACTCTTCTGCGACAAGGGATTAGCCAGCCTGGTTTTTATGGCGATGTGGTTTACAAACTTCGTAAGATTTTGGGTCATGGTCATTTTTCTGCTGTTTTTACTAAAATCATTAAACGTTTTATTGAAAGAGGTTATGACCCTACTATTTTAAGACATACTGCATGTTTAGTGTTCAACCCTTTTACAGTTGGACACTACGCTTTCCTCTTTTGATTGCATCTGACGGACCAAGTGGGAGACTCTATGATGGATAGTTCGTAAAGCCCTTTGGGACTGAATTGTCTTAATGTTCGTCTTCTGCCTTGCTTCGTCGGGCCCTTGTAGGTGATTTTCTTGTTGCTCTGTCTTCCTTTAGGACATTGAGTACTTTTGTTATGGTCATTGGGTTTACTTATATATGTTTCTACATGATCATTTTAGTGTTTTACTTATTAAACCTTTTGTAACCATGACAACTGTTAGAATTTCACTTGGCGGGGATTTATTTTATTTACACTGTATCGTTTATAGGAACATGGTTGGGCTAAGAGCGAGGTTTGGTGCACCATTAACCGGTTTAAACTCCCCAGCAGTCATTATTATGCTGCTGACCGTTCCAAGGCGGCGCCCCACTGTGTTCCTCAGATGTATGTCTATGTTGTTTCATACTGTTTTGGTGACACTTTTGCTTGTGTCCCGTGTTGTTTTCTCGTCAACGGTAAGTATCTTCCCCATTGCCTCTAGTTTTAATTCTTTGATTACCCCCCCCCCCCTTCCCCCGGTCTCCTTCCCCTTTGTGGGCCTATTATTATTTTCTTTGAATTCCTAATCAGTTACAAATTATTTATCATTTAATGATTAACGTGTCGTTGCCCTGTCTTTTTTATGTTTGGGGTCCGCCTGGGCTCCTTGCCATTGGTTCTTGTTGCTGGGTCATATGGGGGTTGCGTTCATTGAACGCCGCCTTTCCTTGTTGATATTGTTTATCATATTTCCTTTTTTTCTTTTCATATGCCTGCATGCTTAAGAAACCGTTTCGAGGGTATACGTCACTTGTTGGCCTCTATTTTACTCTATTTCATAATCACATCCGTGTTATCTGTGCCGTGCGGCGGCTGTAAAACGTCTCCCCGTACATTTAATCAATGATGTTATATTTTCGATCTTTGAAGACTGTTCAGCACAACATTATTGTTGCGTATACATTTTAGATGGTATATTGGGTCTTTTTCAACTTGGGTGGTTCCAGTATTCCTACTTGAATACTGTATAATCACCCTTAGTATATACTGCCAGTTTATTTAAATTGGTCTTTTGGCGACTTGTATGTGATTTGCAGGCTGCATAACCTCCGATCCCCTTTCAAAATTCCATTTTATTTAATTCTGCCCATTATTTTTTCGTTTCGGGCACACGCATTCTTTTACTTGGGGACCATACGCCGCTCTTCATGGAATGACACTACTGTGTCACATTGAAGGTTCCATGATAACCGCCGTATGGACACATCTGCGGATGTTTCTAAATTCAAAATTGCACTTTTTGTGTTTAAATGTTGAATTATGCTTAAGCCGGTGCTAGGAAGCGTGGACGGTAACATGCACTTTCCAGTACCGTCCATGAACAGGCTCAATCAAACCGAGCCTGCGACATTTTACAATATTGCCGTGTTAGGCTTTCTTCATGGATTCTGTTTTTCCCTACTTCTATATCCTTAAGTGCTATAGTGTCTTTTACCAAATGTTTTGCAAACTTGACCCACCAAGAAGATTATTGCGAGGTAAGGGGCACTAATATAGGGTATAAAACATATTGTATTAGTTCATCCATTCCATTCAGACAGTGCATGTGCCAACCCAGTGTCTCAGCCAGCATCAAGTTGTCTTAAAAGGATATCGATTAAGTGGTAAGATTTCGATAAGGATATGCGCATCTAAAAGCTTCCATTTGGATCTGAAAAATTCGTATTGTGTATGGTTTAAAAATAAATAGATAATACTAGCACAAAATGCTTATAGTTGATAATTTGATACATCACGAAAACAATTTAAAATCAAACACAAATATTTTTTCTTTTCAATTTAATTGATTTAAGTTTCAGCTAACATATAACAATATATAAACAAGAGCACCACAAAGACTGGCCAATATATTCCCGAACAAACGTTTGTTTGAGTAGTCAAAAATAATTTTTCAATTAGGGAAAAAAAATTCATGCAACTGTAAGTGCATGATTCACAAAACTTCCAAAGAGGACAACTAAGCAATGCTACATGCCAAATATCTAAACTCTGTGCATTATGGTTTCATTTAAGCATACCAATTAATGCGAAAATTATTTCGGGCGTACAGTATATAATTAACATTTACATGACACTTGTACTAAAATATATGTTCTATGTTTGCAACAAAATGAAACAACGTTAATTAATACAACCAAAAATATTTAATTTCGAATGTGTATGGGTAAATATTTTTCTAAAAAAATAATAATAAGTAAATATGAAATAAATAAATGTAAAATTTGATCTGCATGCTAAATTTTCACTGAGGGTTTTGTTTTTCATAAAAACTGTTCAAACAATTCATTACCGAAATTTTTCATTTATCGTAAACATCTCTGCTCAAGATAGGTAGCCGTTTTGAAACCCTATTACCGCTTAACAAATAGATTTGTTTTACCTTATCTGATAAATGATATAAAATAACTATGATTTGATTAATAGTTTTGGCACGCTGATGTATTCTGTTAAACAAAGATAAATACATTCGTGTTTGCTTCGTATGTTTAGATTGTAAACGCTAGATATGTTATCTTTAAAAAAAAACTTATTTACGCTAATAAAATATACAAGTACATGTATTGTAATTAGATAGTGAATTATATTATTTTGTTTAAATTTCCGTTAAAAATATTTACATAATACTTTCAACGTCTTCATTCTTCTACAAGTCTGACAATATCATATCAATCTAACTCTTGATTCAATGCTTACAAATAATCATACACACCGTCAAGAAGATGTAAACTCTGTAATATATACCGTTCCTTTGTGAAAATATATCAAATGTAGGAATTTCAATAAAGGAGCATATGTATTTTCGCAGTCACAAAATGTATATGTATCCATTTTCATTTTAATGCAAACCTTGTCTCAACATTGAGCTTACTAGTCTACAGATATGAAACTTTGCAGCGTTATTTCTGCCTCGTATTTTCAGAGATAACAGATAGCACTTTAAAGCAGCATCCATTCTGTTTTCTTGCTCCATACACTGACCTAGAAGGTTTAGTGCTGTTTCTTTGTGTCCGAAATTTGGCTCCTCTACAATGCATTTAGCAAGGTTGGAAATTGCCGCCTGTTTATCCCGATTCCTTCTGAGATGAGAATATGTCTTATACTGTAGAAAGTATAAATAAGGTAGAGAATCTACCACAGCCAAATCCATCCATTCATCACGGTAACTTCTATAAGGGAGGTCTTGTTGTGATGATCTGAACATTTCATGTTGGAGTTCCTTAGGACAACAGTTTATTTCACATCTTAGAAACCTGACACAGAAAGCAGTTATACTCTGTAGCAATGCATATTCATCATTTGCTTCATAACATAATTTATGAAATGCCCATTTGCGTTTACAGTGTTGAAAATCGTAGCACTTACATATTGGTTCAACAACACTGAGATCGTAATTTTCTTCAATGTTTTTCAAAATGATTTCTGCCCTCTCAATATCCCCAGTACAATAGAAAATTGAGGCTAGTTTCAATTTACCCGATGCTACATCAATGTTTAGACCTAACGTCATCAAATCGAAAGACCCTCGGCAGACACTGCGTTCACTTTGTAAGTTAATTGAAGCCAGTGCGGATCCTGAATGCATGCTTAGACATTTAGCTATTGCGCGGTATGCTAATTTTTGTTGCACTTGATTCATATGATGAGTTACTTTCATAAGGTATTTATATAATGTTTTCAATAGAAGTCTAATGGGATTGCTTTTATTCATTTTAGTGAGCAAGACCATGACACATTCATTGACTGTGTGAGCAGTATCTTTAACTAGTTGTCCTGAAATCATACAAGACAGGTATTCAGGAACAATCTCTACTAATCTCAAAAATGTGTTTTGAATTCTAAACCCAAGTTGGTCACATTCTATTTCAAGTAAAGCACTTCCGTTACTGCTAATAATGCAAGATAGTCTATCCAGTATGATTTGTTTTGTTACTGGAGTAAAACGTCTCGCCATTAAATTGTTCTCTGGAATAATAAAATGTGGGCAATACTCATTTACAACACAATTGTAAAGTATTGTTAGACAATAATTCAGACAAATGAGTAAGGTGTTTTCTTTCCAAGCATTGTTGATTGTACTTTTAATACAATGAAGTAAGACCGTTTTACACATAAAACTTGAAATGCTGTCAGGGCATTGTGTGGTTATGAACGTTTTCATAATCATTTTCATTAAGACATAGCATCTGATCTGTGTTATATTGAGACTTAACATTAAAAATCTCTCAGCAAGGGAAGTGGATATTCTCCATTCAAGTTCTTCATTTACACTACCTTTTCTTCCAACTCCTACAACGAAACATCCCGTATCTTTACAATACTGTTTCATATCATATGTAGGCCACTGACCTTCACTTTGCTGATTCATCCATTGTCTAGCTTGTAATGGCCACTGTTGACAAGAAAATCCAAGGACAATGTCATTACCATAGAAGCCAGGTTTTTCATCTATTGATTGTTCTGGACCATGTCTAACACGTTCCGCATCAGTCGTTGGATTAACTATTGAATTTTTTAATAGTACTCTTCCTTTTCTATCTCTATACCATCTCTGATCATATACCTTTTCTTCTGGAAATGGAGCATCCTGTCTGAGTGTCTGTAATAAGCAATATCCTGGTGATACAGTATCATCCTGTATCATTAACAGATTTATTTTACCAAGTTCCCATTCACTCCAGTCTTGTATAACGTTGAACCTGGTAAGTGTTAAAAGTACATCTATGTCAGAATTAAGTCCAACTGTTGTAGTACCTTCTACTTTACTACCTAAGATATATATATTCACATCTTGATGTGTTGATAATTTTTGTCCTATCGTTAACAATGCTTCATACATTATCTCCAGTCGCCGTCTTTTTTTAACCATTCTTTCGTTCACTCCTATCTCATCAAGTACTTTAGACAGTCTGAGTGACACATTGCGAGTGAAATCTGGAATTTCCGACATCCTGTAAATTTAAGAAAATATTATTATTTGCATCATAAATAAATGTTATAATAACTAAATCAAGTGTAAATCTACAATTGACTCATATTATCACCATTCTGTTCAAAATATGAAAGAATAAAATCTCTTTATTCATAAATTGTTAAATACTTCACATGTCTGCTGCTGTAGTTTCTAAGAAGGAAAAAATAATGATCATTTGAAACATACAAATTTTAGACATTTATCATTTTAAAACTCAAATTATTCACATCCTGTACACCGCTTTAAATTACTGAAATGTGTAAGTATAAAATCAAATTGTCTTCTTGAGATGTAATATTCAAAATGTTAATTTCAGCATATAAGAATAATACAACAAATAATTATTTATTATATTTTGTTTTTGTGTAAATCAATTGATTAGAATAATTAGAATTGGAGATTTGTGATATGTAAAAAAATGGTATCGCGGTAGTTGAAGAGATACTGATCGTTTAAGGGTAATTTCCTTATAAATGTCAACATCAAAGACAACAAGGAACAAAATTCATAATCATTACAAGAAAATGTTTGAAAGATAAATTTGGATTATTCCATGTAATATACATTCAGACACTTTAACATTTGAAAGTAAAACATAGTCCAGTAAATGTGATTTTGGAAAGACAACATCCAGAGAATTACAGCAATCTGTCATGTATTAGTCATTTTTACTTACAAATTTCTTCAACAACCTTATTTTATAGGGTTAACGCACGTTCTTTCGCGGAATATATAACGTCTTAAGAGTCCCAAGGAACGGTTGGTGTCGGAGCCCGGTAAGGCGAGGTTTCCAACACTTACGAGGGACCTTGCAGACTTTATAACATGAAAAAAAAAACGTGCGTAAACGTGCGTTGACGCTATAAACAAATACATGAAATTCTTGTGGAAACAGTTTGTGGATTGGCGGTATTTTTAATACGTAGCCGTTTTATTTTTCCGGGGCCAACAACTTTGGGAATACAACTTTTAATTGCTTTAACAAAGCTTAACATTGTAGATTTATAAACTCAAGAAAGACAATTAAATTACTCTACCAATGACAAAACATAACCCTCAGAAATTCCGAAAACGATTTCAGATTGACGGTAGAAAAAAAAGATCAGGGGCATTTAAAGTAGACTTGATGTACAGAACCGTTTCTAAGGTGATTTCGAATGTTTGTGTTCGTAGTGAAAGTAGGCCAAAATTCTTGCTGCGATAAAGAGCATATGACTCTTTTGGCAAAACGGCCAAATCGGCATACATTTTTGTATTAATTTATTTTATTTTATTTTTTACCGTGCCCTGTAAAATGTATTGCGCATAGGTAAAACAAGAGCGCGTGACTGTGTTAACACATGGTTTTGGTCCCGTTAAAACATGGACAAAAGAGGGGAAAATAGCCGATATTATGCTATGAATTATTTTATGACCCTTAAAAATTACCTTTACTGATAACTTTATACTTATAAATACGATTGCAGCAGTTTCAATATTGTGATTGATTTTTTACGTTCTTTAGGGATTCTGTTTTCCCTTTTTCATCAATATCTTTAAAAAGGGATCTTGAAAATTACCATTTTCGAAATTCAAATTTTCTTACAAAGTACTACAAAGATTCAGTGATAACAGAAATTACAATCTTATTGTAGACTCTAGTTCAATGTCTAAAATAATGAATGTGGTACAACATTACATGAATAAATCTAAATAAACCATCAATGTCACTAGCTGTTTCCTTTACTCATTTTATAATAAACAAGGAAGTTATTTTTTATCTTTATAAACAAGGAAGTTATTTTTTATCTTTATAAACAAGGAAGTTATTTTTTTATCTTTGACCGAATGTTCGGTCAAACAAGGGTGCCTAATATCGTAATCGTAATCGCAAGTCGTAATCGCATGACATTATGTCAACAGTGAATAAGGAAATTAGTTTTAAAAAAAGTATTCATTGGAAATCGTTAACCATACAAAAGTGATAAAGAACGGCGCATTTTCGACCAATTTGATTTGGAAAAAGCTAACCAATAAAATGCTTGAAACAGTCGATTTATTAGCCGGATGATTAACCACAGTAAATGTGTTTTTAACCTACGTTACTTCTTTACAGCTGTACCTATTTTCTAATAAGTGTCCAACTATTAATCATTAATCATTCGTTAAATACGACTCGTTTTTATCGCTTCTTAAGAATGAAAAAACAATGTTTGTGAATAGTAATGCATATATAAAAATCAATTAATTGAAACAAATAATTTTGAAGTTAAGCAACTTGACAACTTAAACATAAAATGAAAAAGAAACTAAGGGAATTCCAACTTTTGATAAAACTACGTATTTGTAAATCGAAACACCTCGACGGGTTGAAGGACAGGGCCAATATTCAGCCAGCTTACGGTTCTACTCAGGTGAAATAGCGCATAGAGCGGTACCTGAGGTCATTCTCCACAATAAAGCTGGAAAATTGCCATATTTACCTATAATGTATGATGTGATGCGTGATGTATCAACTTCACTTATTCTTGTATTCAATTTTTTCATAAACAAGGAAGTTAATCTTTTTTATATTTGCCCTCATGTTTTGACAAACTAGAATGCTATTTCGCATGATCTAGGTCAACGATTATGTAAGCATATTAAGTAAATAAGCTATTTTAGCAAATAAGAAAGAAAAATGTTGGAGACTTTTACAAAATTTACCAAATTGAATTGGTCAAAAATGGCGCGTTAAGACCAATTTAATTTGGAAAACGCTAACCTAAACAATTTGGTGTTTGAAACAGTCGATTAACTAGCTTACTAGCTTGACTTTTTAACAAAGTGAATCTGTGACTAAAATCCTATTTTTCAAACGCTTAAACATCTTTAACAGATACTTTCAATCCTACGTCACTCTTTTTGAGCTATTTAAATCTCATTATTTCACATTCGTTAAATTTAATAATGAAATACAATTTTGTAAATCTTAATACATACATGGATATTAATTAATCGAAAGAAATACCTGTTAAGCAGCTTGGAAACTTGAACACCAATTGAAAGAGAAACTAGGGGGAATTCCACCTTATGATTAAACTACGCATTTGGCAATCGGAACACCTCGAATATCAATTTCCGAAGATTGACGGAAAGGGTCGAAAATGTGCGATTACGATGTGCGTGTTTATACTTGAATTTTTCTCTTAAGCAAGATAGACAGAACTCAAAATATAAGATACAATTAATAATATTTTGAAGACTGAATGTGCATTGCCATAGTGAATGCTTTATTTAAAGGTAAACAAACATTTTCGTAATTTAACATGTACATAAATTCTTCCCTCCATATAATGTCTTTTTAGTTTAACTTACATATCTTTTTCAAAATTTCCTTATGAATTACACAAAATAAAATTATTCTAATGAGGCTTTACACTGTTCATGATCATCGGTACACATGTGACCTGGTATTAAAACAACAGAGTCGTTATTAACCTAGAATGCTGATCTGATGTCCTTTACTTGTGTAGGTCATATTTCTCCGATTCAGACAAAAATATCTGGAAAAGGGGAAATCCTTTAGAAGCAACAAAAACGACAATATCAAATGGTTCAAATTTGAGACTAAGTGAATAAAACTAATCAAAAAGGTCATAGGCCATGTAATTTTACAAAGAAGATAAGTGTGTTTCTATGTGTGTCTAAACAGGGTGACATTAAATATTACACCACGGACAAGCCTTATAAATGTTACATGCAAAAGATCGACACTCTATGATAGTTAGTTTCATATGAGCAGAATACTTTCATATCTAACTTTTTTACAAAAGTAACCCCAGCCCGAAACACTTTTAAGACAAATGGACATAACAATTTAATTCCTTTAAGGTAGGTCCATAGAGAAGACTATAATCAAAGGAAAATCATGCAGTATGGGCGGGTGTGGGCGGGCGTTTGTTGCGGAGTGGTCAAGGTCATTGCCTCCAAAACACTTGCCTCTCATCACCGACGGCTCGCGTCCAGTCAGCTTACGGGACGTCGGTGGTCCTACTCAGGTTAAATAGCGCAAAGAGCGGCACTTGAGATCATCATCCACTAGCAAAGCTGGAAATTTGCCATATAACCTATACTGTATGGTGTGATGCGTGATGTATATGATAAACCCGATAAAAATGTATAGTCAAATTTTTGTACTGGATGCATAAAAGTTTTTGCCGATGACGGAATCTTAGCGATCATAATAGCTTTTCGAAACAAACGAGCTAAAATACGAATTGATAAACGATTGCTAGACTTTTAAATTTATATAAACATTGTGTTTTATATATATTTATACCATTTGTATTGCTTAAGACAGATGCTTCATTTATATAATTTTTCGGACATCTTTTTTACACTTGTGGGAATAAAATATCAAAACAGTTATTCAATTTATATGCTTTATTCATTAATACACCACATAACATATCAACATTGTTGTAACATTATATCACAGACTTGTTTCACAATTATGCCACAATTATTCATAAAATGAGGGACAAAATAAGTATCCATAAACCTATTGTAACAGAGACTGTACGTTTTATGTTAGACAAAGAAAAATTCATTAGAAAATTCGTCAACCATTCTTTACTATCTTTTTCCAGATACAACTCGACCTGTGACGACAGTGTCAATCCAAAAGAGTTTGTGAATTATAAAAGATACTCAAGTCTATGCAGAATATATCATACTGTTTAAATAAAGAATGAATAGTAGATAAATAAAGCTTTATGACATTTGAACATAAATTAAAATGTGTGATTGTATTGCTCGCACAATATTTTGACAGTAGATTTTCTACTGAAATATGTCATATCATAATTATAAAGAGCAGATCAAATTTATCTTTTAAAGCTACATGCCTCCAGATGAGTCAAAATATTTCAATAAAATCAAATTTGAGAAATATGTACTAAGATGTAAGTAAAAGTAAATAGTTTCAAGATTCAAGTAATATTTTACATATTTTGTGCGATTTATAACTTAGTATTTACATCTATATTTCTACTGCGTTACTAACTCAGTAAAGGCTAATTAAGCATATTTTGACCACTTTTAGGTAATCTACGTGGTAATAGGTGCCATTGATGATGAATAAATTATTATGCCCCCACTTTGAAAAAGAGGGGGTATCTTGCTTTGCACTTGTCGGTCCGTCAGTCCGTCGGTCCGTCGGTCCGTTGGTCCGTCGGTCCGTCGGTCCGTAGACCAAATGGTTTCCGAGTGATAACTAAAGAACCCTTAGGCCTAGGAACTTCAAACTTGGAATGGTGATTGGTCATGACAAGTACATGACCCCTATTGATTTTGGGGTCAAGGGGTCAAAGGTCAAGGTCACATTGACCTCTTAGGTAAAAACGGTTTCCGATCAATAACTAAAGTACCCTTAGGCCTAGGAACTTCAAACTTGATATGGTGATTGGTTATGACTAGCAGATGACCCCTATTGATTTTGGGGTCAAGGGGTCAAAGGTCAAGGTCACATTGACTTTGTAGGTAAAAACGGTTTCCGATCAATAACTAAAGAACCTTAAGGCCTAGGAACTTCAAACTTGGTATGGTGATTGGTCATGACAAGTAGATGACCACTATTGATTTTGGGGTCAAGGGGTCAAAGGTCAAGGTCACATTGACCTTGTAAGCAAAAACTGTTTCTGATCAATAACTAAAGAACCCTTAGGCCTAGGAACATTAAACTTGATATGGTGTTTGGTCATGACTTGCAGATGACCCCTATTGATTTTGGGGTTAAGGGGTCAAAGGTCAAGGTCACATTGACCTTGTAGGTAAAAATGGTTTACTTAAGAACCCTTAGGTCTAGGAACTTCAAACTCAGCATGGTGATTGGTCATGACCAGTAAATGACCCCTATTGATTTTGGGGTCAAGGGGTCAAAGGTCAAGGTCACATTGACCTTGTAGGTATAAACGGTTTCCGATTAATTTACTAAAAACGCTTAGGCCTAGGAACTTCAAACTTTATATGATGATCGGTCATGACCAGCAGATGACCCCAATTGATTTTGGGAGCAAGGGGTCAAAGGTCAAGGTCACATATATCTTGTAAGTAAAAACAATTTCTGATCAATAACTAAAGAACGCTTAGGCTTAGGAACTTCAATCTTGGCATGGTGATTGGTCATGACCAGCAGATGACCCCTATTGATTATGTGGTCAAGGGGTCAAAGGTCAAGGTCACATATACCTTGTAAGTAAAAACAATTTCTGATCAATAACTAAAGAAAGCTTAGGCTTAGGAACTTCAAACTTGGCATGATGATTGGTCATGTTCAGCAGATGACCCCTATTGATTTTAGGGTCAAGGGGTCAATGTCATATTGACCTTGTACTTAATGAAGGTTCCTGACCAATAACTCAACAACTCAAGTTGCCTTGGTTGATATTTTGATTTTAAACTAAAAATGCTTTTGGTATACACATTTGAAGGTCTTATGTAATATAACAACTTGGCTGTCATTAATGAGGCCTACATGATTCATAAAATTTATGCATATATTATTTGGTAAGATATGTAATAACTTAAATTGCTGCACACAACCTATGGGGTCACAATAATAATTAGCTTGTGACTAGTCATGACCAGTAGATACTAGATAACCCTTACTAATTGTTTGTTCACTGGGTCAGAAGTCATGCATAATAACCTCATCACATGACTTATTGGCTGCCGATAGGGGGCATACATGTTTTACAATCATATCTTGTTTCCTTTTGGTTACTTCACAATATTACACATTCAAATACATTTTCAAAATTTTCATGAACATTAGCATGAATCTGTTTGCGTGCTGCTTTAAGCTACTGGTCATAACTTTTCACAATATCCTTAGTTCTAATTTACAGTATGACAAGTGCAAACATGTAAGAGCTATTTGAAAATATTTTGACATCTTTTTGATTATTTATATGTTTGTAAATGTCATTTGCATTGTGTAAATTACTTTCTTAGTTCACTTAAAAATATTTTACTTTAAAAAATCATTTCAACACTTTCATGAAAATTAGCATGAATCAAGAGGCATCTGCTTTAAAATAAAACATAATTCCATAATACAATAACACACAATTACATTCTTAATTAATATTCAAAAGAAAGTAAGCAATGTCTAAAAAAGATTACCCCTAAATATATTACTACGTAAAAATATAAATTTTGAGTACATTAGTTTGAAGTTTTAAGTGACAAAAATGGATTTCAGTATCAACAGTATTCATGGCATTTCTAAAGTTGAGACAAGAGGTACATGGTGGCATTTTATTGCTCACCTCAGACATATTGCAGAGAAAAGTAATTTGGTCACGTTGGGTCTGTCAGTTTTTAGCCATTATGAATAATTTACGAAATAGTTTTAGATATATATACCATAATACATGTTAAATATTAAAGATCTTTACACAAACAATATATAAATGTGTTTTACTCTATCTTATTCAATATCATGAAGATGTATACCAGAACATAATACATGATGCTAAATATTTATGTTCGCACACAAAGAACATATAAATGTGTTTGAATCTATCTTACTTAATATAATCTAAGGGTGGGTCAATTTCAATCCCAGGGGCATACTTAAAATAACTTTTGTAAATGAACCACAAGGAGATGCTACGTGCCAGAGCATTTTGCACACAGATGACCTAGAACAATTCTTAAGGAGAAACACATCAAACTAAGAACAATATATTAAAAGTTTTAGAACATCTTGTGGTTTTCTGCTTTAAAGACAATCTTTCTTAAAAATAAATTATAATATCAGTTTTACAGCTATCATTTCTGTACTTGTTATTGTGTTTTGTTCAATGGAAACATATCTTAAGCATACATTTACAAAATCATTATGCACCATGCATCAACAACATAACAATCAGATCTAAGCCATAAGTACATAACAAATAAATATCAATCTATTAAACATCAACTTTACATGCGACCACCATCCTTAAAGAGACATTAACCTGTTCTAATATGTACAAATAAACACAGTATTCATACACCTAATAAATTTAAACGTGATGTGAAGACAGGTTGGATTGTCTCCCTTGTATCAGTCTGTTTATACATTTGTATACATGTATGTATTATACACCAGCAAAAGCTTGTAATGATCTATTTTGCATGAAATGAGATTGATGGAAACTATTATCTAAGTTAGGATTTGAAGAATATGAACTTTTACCAGATAATTGTAAATTATTCTGTAATCAGCGAAGCGTTTGAAAGTGATTAGTACTTATATCTTCAACACACTGAAAAATGGTTTGATGTGGTTAAACAATAATAAAAAAATAATAAATGCAAGATCAAGTAAAATAAAGATAACTCCCCATTAATTTATCTTTACATCATGTGCAGATGATCATCAACAATATATTATAACATTTAAAGACCAGGGCTAGCACTTTAAAGACCAGGACTAGCACTGTTAAACTTAAACAACAGTTAGTAGATGACTCACATTTAAATATCAGAATGAGATATTATAACAAAATAAATAATAAATGTGACTAATAATTGTATGTTTCGGTGTTTATCAATCCAAGGGGCATACTTAAAATATCTTTAGTAAAGGAACCACAAGGAAATGCTATCTGCCACAACATTTTGCAAAGAGATGGGCTGAAACAATTTTTAAGGCTGAAATAAAATAAGAAAGACATATCAAAAGATTAAAAACATCTGACGATTGTCTGCTTTTAAGACGTTCTTTTTCAGAAATAAATTATATCAGTTTTACAACTATCATTTGTACTATCTTTTATGTTTTGTACAAAGAAAACTAAAGCATACATTGACACAAAAAACCATACAGTAACAGAAAAAATCAGATCTAAACATGTACTACATAACGCATAAATATCAATATATCAAAATTGCAAACACTTTACATAAAGAAACAGTAACCTTTTCTTATCAACCGATGCGCAAAGGAGTTCAGAGTCTTATTGCACTTCAGAAAAATTATAACCATGAATATTATAAGATGTGAGGACAGGATGAATGCTGTAAAAGTTTCCCCGTACTTTACTTCAGTGTTGGTATATTTTTCTGGTCCTTAAGAAGCATAAATTCCAGCACTTTTAAGTGTTGAAAATTGAATACCGCTCAAGATGGTCGCCAGGGACGTGAAAAATGTTACTTTTTTGGATTATCCTTAATAAACAAACTCAATCAAACCGAGTCTGAAATGTTTATGTTATTTTGTTGTGATCAATGCTTCTGAAGATCACATTTTCTCCATAAATTTAACCTACCTTGTATTAGTCTGTATCTGCAATAAACAATGAAAAGCATGTAATGATCTATTTTGTATCAAATGAAAAATATATGAATCTGGAAACAAAGTGATGTCTCGGAAGCATTAATCACAATTCAATTAAATGAAAATTGCAGACCTGGTATGATTGAGTATGTACATGAGGGATAATGAATAGGTGCAATATCCCTCACTATCCAAAGTGTTAAGAGTCTATTGATCCTGCCTTATACTTTGTTAAAAGTCACATCTTAAAATTATCATGTTAAGCAATTATAATTATTTTTAACATACTGAACTATTGCTTGCTTTGATGTGGTTAGATACACTAAAATAAATACAAGTGCATGTAAAATAAAAATAGTTTTTTCGAAAGAAAAAAGTCGAAAAGAATTATAATACATTCATTTCAGCCACAAGCTGTAGTAAAATCTTCCTGAATATTTAACTTAATGTTTTAATAGAGTCAAGTACACCAGGAGGTTTCAGAAATATACAATGTTTCTATAGTAAATTGGCTAGAAAATAAATAGATCAACGTTATTTTTTACATTCAGGAAATATTAAATTTCCGAATTTGAATTGTACAATTGTAAAATATTTTTCAGATTTTATTTGAACAATAACATGACGAAATCTTTCATTTATCATAAACGTGTGTTCTAAAGATATAACGTAGTTTTGAAAACCTTACACATTTATTTCATCTCAATCCGGTACCATAAATATACACTTTAATTATTGTCTTCGGTAATTGAAAAGTTGTGTATTTAATAAATATGTTTAGATTGGCCAATGAAAATACTAAAGTAATAAAACATAAAGCAAAATACGTTACACTTATCATATATACGTATGTATAGTAATTAAATAGTAACTTCTATTTTGTGAAAAGTTACGTCTAAGAAAAAATTACAAAATGTTTTCAATATTAAAATTCTCCTAACAAATAATCATACACACTGTCAAGAAGTGACATATTTTTTATCCTAGTGTAAATAATCTTTTTTATTGAACCTTTCTATTCCGTTATCGAAATGTATGGCAGGCTTTGCCTTTCTTTAAAATGAACTTGTCTGTTCGCAGTTATGAAATGTATATATTTCCACTTTCATTTTATTGCAAGCTTGTACCCAACATTGAGCTTACTAGTCTACATATATGAAACTTTGCTGCGTTATTTCTGTCTCGTATTTTCAGTGATAACAGATAACACTTTAAAGCCGCATCCATTCTGTTTTCTTGCTCCATACACTGACCTAGAAGGTTAAGCGCCGTTTCTCTGTGTCCAAAATTTGGCTCCTCTACAATGCATTTAGCAAGGTTTAACATTGCCGCCTGTTCCTCCCGATGCCTTCTGAGATGGGAATATGTCTTATACTGTAGAAACTATAAATAAGGTAGAGAATCTATCACAGCCAAATCCATCCAATCATCGTATTTACCTCTATAATTGATATCTTCTTGTGATGATCTGAACATTTCATGTTGGAGTTCGTAGGGACAACAGTTTATTTCGCATCGTAGAAACCTGACACAAAATGCAGTTATACTCTGCAACAATGTATATTCATTATCTGTTTCATAACAGAGCTTATTGAATGCCTTTTTGCGTTTAGGTGTTTGAAAATCGTAGCATTTACAAACTGGTTCAACTATATTGAGATCATAACCTTCTTCAATGTTTTTCAAAATGAATTCTGTCCTCTCAATATCTCCAGTACAATAGAACATTGAGGCTAGTTTCAGTTTACCTGACGCTACATCAATGTTTAAACCTAACGTCATCAAAACAATAGACTTTCGGCAGACACCGCGTTCACTTTGTAAGTTAATTGAAGCTAGTGCAGATCCTAAATGTATGCTTAGAAATTTAGCTATTTTACTACATGCTAATTTATTGTGCCCTTGATTCATATCATGAGTTACTTTCATTAGGTATATATATAATGTTTGAAATAAAAGTCTGATGTGATTGATTTTATTCGTTTTTGTCAGAAAAAGCGTGTAATAGTCATTGACTCCACTGGCAATATCCCTTACTATCTTCAGAAGCAATCTCTACTAATCTCAAAAAAGTGTTTCGAATTCTGAACCCTAGTTGATCACATTCTATTTCAAGTAAAGCACTTCCGTTACTATTAATAATGTAACAAAGTCTTTCTAGAATGCTTTGTTTTGTTACTGGAGTAAAACGTCTAGCCATTAAATTGTTCTCTGGAATAATGAAATGTGGACAGTAATCATTTAAAACACAATTGTAAAGCAATGTCAGACAATAATTCAGACAGATAAGTAATGTGTTTTTGTTCCAATCAGTGTTGTTTGCACTTTTAATACAATGAAGCAAGACCGTTTTACACATGTAACTTGAAATGCTGTCAGGACATTGTGTGGTTATAAACGTTTTAAGAATCATTTTCATCAAGACATAGCATCTGATATGAGTTATGTTGAGATTGAACATTAGATTTCTCTCAGCAAGGGAAGTGGATATTCTCCATTCAAATTCTTCATTAACACTGCCTTTGCCTCCAACTGCTACAACAAAACATCCCGTGTCTTTACAATACTGTTTCATATTATATGTAGGCCACTGACCTTCACCTTGCTGATTCATCCATTGTCTTGCTTGCGTTGGCCACTGTTGACATGTCAGTGCAGGGACAAAGTCAGCACTAACGAAACCAGGTCTTCCATTCATTAATTGTGCTGGACCATGTCTAACATATTCAGCGTCAAATCCGATATTTAACATTGTATTCTTTACCAGTACTCTTCCTTTTCTATCTCTACACGTGTACTGATCAAACACATTTTCTTCTGGAAGTGGAGCATTATTTCTCAGTATCTGTAACAAACAATATCCTGGTGATACAGTATCATCCTGTATCATTAACAGGTTTTGTTTACCAGGTTCCCATTCACCCCAGTCTTGTATAACACTATAACCGGCATGTGTGAAAAGAAGATCTTCGTCAGAATAAATTCCAGGTGTTGTAGTACCCTCTACTCTACTACCTAAGTAATACACATTCACACCTGCATATGATAATTGTTGTGTTATCGTACATAATATTTCGTTCAATAGCTGTAAGCGCCTACATTTTATTACCATTCTTTCGTTCATTCCTATCTCATAAAGTACTTTAGACAGTCTCAGTGACACATTACGAGTGTAATCGGGATTTTCCGACATCCTGGAAATTTAATGAAACATTATCATTTTCATCATAATTAAATGTATCAATAACAAAATAAAATGCAAGTCTGCAATTGACTTTGTAAGTATTAAATATAATTGTCTTATGGAAATGTAATGTTGAAACTGAATGATTCAAACGTTTTCTAAATTGTTTGATTTTGTGTTTGCTTTTATTCATGATCGAATTTTATCAATAAATGATTTATTGCAGCTTACGAACCTAAATAATTAAATAAATAAAATATAGTTATAGTAACAATTTGAATGGAATTGAGTGGTTTAAAAGAAACGGTATTGTAGTAAAAGACACAATGATCGTTCAATTGTATTTTCAGGAACAAAATTCATAATTATTACTAGGAATTGTTTAAAACAGAGATTTTGATTTCCCCCACCATGTAGATGTTAATTTGTTATGATAATTGTCTATGACATGTACTTGGCAGTTTCTCTTCACTTATTTTATTTAGCATTTTCAATTGGTACAAAAAGTCATTTTAAAGTATTTCCGTGGTAATTCTCTTATTGGATGATTTTATTAAAGGTATATACTTAAACGCAAGTGAAAGAAGGTGTTAACACACCCTGAATCAAATATTTATATATACATATGGCCTAGATTAGTAATTTTACTGACATACGACTTCAACCATTATTTTGAAACAGAAATATAAAGTTCAAACTCCAGGGAAACTCCCTTTATAACAAATACTTATAAACACAAATCAAGACGTACTTATTTCCTCCAACAAATATCTTAAAACCGAAACTCGAAAATGACCAAGCCTAGGAAATTCATTATTTCTCAATTAATAATAAGGACATAATTGAGTCTCTACTATAATAAGTTTTACAATAAGTGAAGATTTACCAAATTAATAAAACTTTAATCAGAGTCACCTTATCATTAACAAGGACGTCAAGAATTGTTACTTTATATTATTCTATTATAACTTATTGTGAAACATGACGTGTTTATAAATATTAAGAAATTGTATAATTATAATCTGAAAAAAGAGCTGAGGGACATAAAACTTTGATAATACTATTTATTTTACTGTATGTGTAAGATCAAATCCTTCACACAATATTAAGATAACCTTATTGTATGAGGATCTGTTCAAAAGTCTTTTTATCGATAGCTCAACATGCGCATTCAAAATAAGAGAAACTGTTTCTCATTTTTCATTGCAATGTACCCAATACAGAAAATTATATCAAATATTTTCACTAATATAAATTTTCCGGCTACAGTTAATAACTTTCATCACGGCAACGAACATCTCTCTATTGATGAAAACAAAACCTCCTTCAGAATGTCCAAAAAATCATTAAATGTACTTCAATTTATTTTGTTATTGTGCCTAAGTTTATATATGAATTATAAATATATCATATAATAACAGTTTCTTAATGCGACAAATATACGTACAAACAATAAAGAAAATAGAAAAATCTCTAAAGAAAGTTCAAAATGGCGGAATTGAAAATGTTGCAGGATCGGTTTGAATGAACCTGTTAACGGATGGTACTGTCAAGTGCAAACTAGTTTCACGCCTCCTAGCACCGGCTTTAGCAGAATTCAACATTTAAACAATATAATGGAGTAATTTTGAATAAAGAAACATCCGCAGATGCGTTTATATGGCGGTTGTTATGGAACTTTCAATGCGACATATTCGTGCAATTCTATGTGGTATGGCCTTATAGTAAAAGAAAGCGTGGGTCTAAAGAGAAGATAATGGGAGGAACGTACAGTTTTGAAATATTGAAAGGAGATCAGAGGAAAAGAAGCCGGCATATCCCTAAGGGTGGTGATTGAACAGTGTTCAAGAAGTAATATTGGAACCACCCAACTAGAAAAATACCGAAAGGTGAAATATGATAAACAAGATCAACAAGGAAAGGTGGCATTCAATGAACGCAACCCTCACACGAACGAGCAACAGAACCTGGAGGAACCCAAACAAAAACAGGACATGGCACAAGACAGAGTATTGGCAGGCTAATCACTAAAATGATACATAAGAACAAATAATTAGTAACCGGTTTGGAATTCAAAGAAAACATAGAAATGATTGAATAATAGGCCCACAAAAACGAAGGGGCGCAGGGGAAGGGGACAGGAGACCTGGGGAAGGGGAGGGGTAAATTAAAGAAATAATACTAGGAGCAAAGGGGAAGATACTTACTGTAGACGGAACAAAAAACAACGAAGAAAAACAGAAGTGTCACCAAAACAGTATGAAACAACAAAGACATACATCTGAGGAACAAAGAGGGGCGCCGCCTTGATACGGTTAGCAGCATAAGAACTGCTTGGGAAAACTAAAAGTAACACAAACACAGCAATTATATCTTGAATGATCGGAAATATTACATCTCTGATTGATTACAAATCTATTTACAAATCCTCCTGATGATTTACACTTTCAGCTTTCATTGTTCTCCAAAATCAAACAGGTCCTTAATTAAAGTCCCAGTAAAGATTTATCATTGAAACAATTTGGTTTTTGCAAATGCTAAATTATGAAAGGAATAGAATTGTAAAAATAATAAAATTACTGATTAAAATTCAATTGAATCAGCTTACTTAGTAAACCTCTGCTTAATACTAATACTCTTGCAAATAACGTATTCAGCATCATAATGGCAACTTGAAATTACATAGAAAGAATGTCCAACATTTCGTATCAGCAAATCATTCATAAAATTTGTGAATAAATATAGAACATTAAAATTATAAACCTAGTTTCATAACTCGTCTAAACCAACAGGTTAAAATCGGATTTTTCTATATGATATGATTTAAAAAGATATGCTATCATTCATTGACATTGTTTACATAACTGATAACACTAAAATATTGTTAGTGTGAGAACGAAATGAAAAAAAAAATCAGCATATGTACTCGTATATAACATGAAATACAAAATCAACAAGGAAGAGGGGTATTCAAACCCCAAACAAGGACCACCAGTAAGGAGCCAAGCAGGACATCGAACGTTACAGGTAATATAGATAAATCACGGACCGGATGTCATTTAAAAAGAAAATCATAGAAGCCAACAGGATAACCTAATACGAAAATGAACCAAAGGACTCACACAGGAAAAAGGTTGCAGGTAAAGGGCAAGGCGGAGGGCCGCGCTAAATTGAACAAATAAAGAAAAAAACAACTAGTATGAAATAAAATTGAAGATTCTTGCAATAGACTAGATGTACAAGAATTGACACAAAGTGTCATTAAAGATTGAATGTAACAATAAACAAAACATACATATTAAAGAATAGAGGGCGCCGCCGATGAAGGGTCAGCAGCATATCAACACTCCCTCTGTGTAAAAAACGCTTAATTGTACACAAAACCTCACATTTAGCTCAAACATGATCTTTTTAATCAAACCATGTGAATAAAATAAATCTCTGCCATCTGTAAACATACTTGAACATTAAGCATGCTGTATGTCTTAATAAGGTAGGATCATAACCCTTTCAAAAATATGATGAATGATTTATGTCAAAAAAGAAAATTATGATGTCCAAAGATGTTACATTTTTTTGTAAACCGTATCCCTATCAAAATTAATTTTTTATACACCACAACATCAGGATAAAAGTGTCGCCTTATAGCTGTTAAAAGTTATCCCATACTAACTTCTCCGATGTTATATTTTCTGGTCCCTCGGGATATTGTTTAAAGCTCTTGTTAGTGTTGAAAATTAAAACACTGATAAAGCTGTTTATCAGACAATACAATAGACATGTATTCATATTGAGGAGAAAGAAAATTGACATTTTATACATAAAAAGATATTACATACTTCGTCTATTATATCATAAGACGGTACTATCTTTTGTTTCAACCCAAAGTCTGGCTAGATGGATATGCTCATAATTTTGAAACGCATTTATTGTTCTTGACAATAATAGGCTTGATAATTTATTTAACAAAATAGAAAAAAAATGATTCGAATAACAAAAAAAATGTCCTATATAAGTATGTTTAAAGGCAAATGTAATTACTTGTTTAAAGGAATTTTGTATAAAACAAATGATACATTTTCCCATGTACGTCAAACATTACATCAATTTAATATCAGTCGGTATCATAAATAAACAAGACAAAATTAAAATCTGATGAAATCAGCAATTTATATCAATAAATACTTAAACCAAAACCAGGACTAGATAGATGATAATGTACAGTTATTTTAAACCACAAAAGCAGGTGGCAAGTTGCCCCATACTCCTCTCTTTAGTGTTTGTATGTTTTTCCTTGCCCTTCGAGTTGATTGCTTCCAGCACATTTAGTTTGAATATTGAACACATGAATACAGCTTTGGCTAGAAGTGTGATGATTGTTGCAGTTTTCCACTATCAACTCAGTCATAGACTGAATCAAACTGAGTCAATTTCCATGTAATTGTATTGTTTAATTGCTTCCAAGTGATCTCCCTTTCCAGATTTTTTCCCATTTATATGACCTACAGTTTTCTTATAAATATGTTTTTAAAATGCAAAAATTGGTTCGATATTCATATATTACGATGAAGGTTATTGGTGTTCTAATGCACTGCAATATGTTTTACTGTTTAATGTTTTATGAGGGTAATGTCATTCAATGAAATATGAGAGCAAACAAAACTCAATCAATAATTTTCAATCTTGATCGCTCTTTAATTAAGATTGACTCAGTATGCTTATAATTCTGTGTTGCTTGATTTAATGATACAATACATAAGAATATATCTCTTCTTTACTGACTTTAAATTAACCTCTATTTTTTGCTCTATATTTTGCATGTACGAACTATCGATACGATATTTCTAATCATTCAAAACAGAAAGAAACATATATCTAGAAATAAACATGGACTGTAATAAATTAGTTTTAAATTTTGGGGACACAAAAAATAATATAAGTATAAAACAATATGTACATTTTTGCAGTTCAGAAACCGGAAGTTGACAGATCATATGATTAAAGTGAAA